TTTGGGGGGGGGGGGGGGAGGCATTGTTTTTTAGAAGAAAGATTATATCTCTCAAGTTTCAGGGAAACTGCGTCTGTGGCTCCTGGAGCTCTAATCAGATTTGCAAAATCACTCCTCTACCCTGAGAGCCTACGGATGAAGAAATAGGCAGAGGTATAAAGTTGATTGCTGGCTTATTTCACATTATTTCAGTTTGGTAGGAGAGCTGGGATTTAAGTGGCAACCCCTGGCTAATGGGCTTTTGTACTGTGCGTCCAGCCTGCGTTAACCCTTCGCCTCCTGTTCTCTGCTTGCAGCCCTATGATTTCCTCATCATCTCCCCCTCCACCCGCTGAACTTGGACTTCAGATCTGACCCCAGACCTGTCCACTATCTCGGGAGGGCCCTCCTCCCCTCCCGTCCAGCAAGATGCCGATCCTCAAGCAGCTGGTGTCCAGCTCAGTGCACTCCAAGCGCCGTTCCCGCGTGGACCTCACGGCGGAAATGATCAGCGCCCCACTGGGTGATTTTCGCCACACTATGCACGTGGGCCGAGCCGGAGATGCCTTTGGGGACACCTCCTTCCTCAATAGCAAGGCTGGTGAGCTTGATGGCCAGTCCCTGGATGAACAGGCCTCCTCCTCCTCCTCTTCCAAACGCGGTCTTCTGTCCCGCAAGTTCCGGGGCAGCAAGCGGTCACAGTCGGTGACCAGGGGGGACCGGGAACAGAGGGACATGCTGGGCTCCCTGCGGGACTCAGCCCTCTTCGTCAAGAATGCCATGTCCCTGCCCCAGCTCAATGAGAAAGAGGCGGCGGAGAAGGGCTCCAGCAAGCTGCCCAAGAGCCTGTCGTCCAGCCCCGTGAGGAAGGCAAGTGCCGGGGAGGGCGGCGAGGACGAGGCGGGCGAGGCGGAGGTGGTGGCCCGGCGGAACGGGGCTGCGGGTCCCCACTCCCCCGACCCCCTCCTGGACGAGCAGGCCTTCGGGGACCTGACCGATCTGCCCGTCGTGCCCAAGGCCAGCTACGGGCTGAAGCACGCCGAGTCCATCATGTCCTTCCACATCGACCTGGGGCCCTCCATGCTAGGCGATGTCCTCAGCATCATGGACAAGGAGGAGTGGGACCCCGAGGAGGAGGAGGAGGAGGACGGCGGCTACCACGGCGACGAGGGCCCCGGCAGGCTCCCCCAGGCTCCCCCTTCTGCAGCAGCGGCCTCTCCCCTGGCAAGGCAGGAAGGCAAGGCCAGCCGGGAATTGCCATCGCGACCCTCCCGTGCTCTGGAGGACGAGGGGTGGGCGGCGGCGGCCCCCAGCCCCGGCTCGGCCCGCAGCGGGGGCAGCCACACCACGCGGGACAGCAGCTCCCTGTCCAGCTGCACCTCGGGCGTCCTGGAGGAGCGCAGCCCTGCCTTCCGGGGGCCCGACCGGGCCCGGGCCACTCTCCCGAGGCAGCCAGACAAGGACTTCTCCTTCATGGATGAAGAAGAGGAGGATGAGATCCGCGTGTGAGGCGGGCCACCAAGCTCCTGGCTGCACCTTCTCCCTGTGCCCACCCCACTGCGACCTTTGACCTTACCATGCAGGGACAGCCAAGAGCCTCGCTTCCGGCCACGGACCCTGGACCTCGTGGATGGGGGCCCTCGGAGGGCTTGAGGAGCTGGCGTGGGTGCCGAAGTCGCCTGATGTCATTACACACCCTGCCCTCCCCGCAGCCGTCTGGGCCCCCGCTCTGTGTTCTCGCAGCAGGGATCGGTTTTCCTCTCTCTGCCTCCTTTTCCTCCACCCTGGCCTCAAATGGATGCCAGATGTCAACCTGAGTTCCTGCCACGTGCAGCAATAGCAGGTCAGCCCACGGGCAGCCTGGACTCCAAGGCTAAGGACACTTGTCTCTCCTTTTCTCTCCTGGTGTGTCTGCTGTGACCGGTGGTGGCTGCCAGGGAAATGTGTGCAGCAGGAGGAAGGGGGTGGCCACACGTTCCAGCCTCTCTCTCCATCCCTGGCTCCTGCATGGGAAGCTTAGAGCCTCTTGGAGTCAAGCCCACCAGGTGGCCAGCCACAAACATGTACACTAATAAACGCAGCCCCCTTCCAGGGGAAGACACAGGATGGGGAATGGAAGGAAAGCCCCCTGGGCTTCTTGAATTTTCAAGAGGGGCCCTTGCAGGATGACACTAGGAACAGGGCTGGGATACTTGCTCCAGTCCCTGTGGGTTTGTTTGCTCTTTATTATTGTTTAAATCCTTATAGAGCAATATCAGGAACAGTGTTAATAGGTCTGCCACCAGAGGGAAAATAGAATCCTTTTAGAAAAATTTTATGCGAAGTCTCCTCCTCTTGAAAAGTCACAGTGAATATTAGCATACTTAAGTCTGGGACGTCCTGTGGCCAAGAAACCAGCTCAACTTTAGTGCTTCCAGATTTTATTTAGCACTATATGGGGTGGGTGTCGTGTGTTTGTCCCCACCCCTCTCCCGTAGCTATTAACAGCTGAAGACCAGTGTAGAAAATTTCTGGAAAATGACTTTTTAAAAATAGTATATCAATTCTGGGGGGTGGGGGAAAGCTGGTGTTTTTTTGTTTTGTTGTGTTTTGTTTTGTTTGGCGGCTGGCCTGAATAGGGATCCAAAGCCTTGACCTTGATGTTATCAACACCAAACTCTAACCAACCAAGCAACCAGCCAGCCCTGGAAAGCTGGTTTTTGACTGGGCTACCCCTTCCCCTCCCTGCACACCCTCTGTACTGACTGTTTCCCCTTCCTGTCTCAGGCTCCCTCCCCCAGGGTAGGGTGGGACAAAGTCCCTAAGGGTAGGGTGGCCAAATTTAGCAAACAAAACAAAAACAGAATGCTGGGTTAAATTTGAATTTCAGGTACACAAAGACAATGTTTTAGTGTTAATGTGTCCCATGCGATACCTGAAACATACGAGAAATTATTTGTTGTTTTTCTGAAATTCAAGTTTCACTCTGCATCCTGTAACTCGACCCAAGGGAAGTGACTGCAAGCTTGGGTGTGAGCCCCAGGGTTGACTGCTGATCATTTTTCTGTCCTGGGAACAGGCTGACCCATCTCCCTGGTCTGCACAAAGCCAGTAGAGGGAGGGACAGACAGAACTAAGTGCAACCCGGGCTTCAGCCAACCGGTGGGCCTGGCGGGCGTAGCTGCTCTGGCCTTCCACGTCTTGCCAGATCCTGACTCTGAGAC